AGAAAACCTGACAATAGCATCTATGGCACAGATAAAGGAACCACAACTGCCCATACATTGCTGGTAGGAGTGCATGGCATCCCTCAGCGTGCTAAACTACTTGTTTGTTGAAGTTTTCCTCCTAGATTCACCTGGTGCTGCTTTTGTAGCCAAGCCTTACTTTCCAGAATAGACACAATCCAGATGTAATTCCATCATGATGCATCGTGTATATTACAGTTAACCTAAAATATAGGAAGTCATATCAAATTGTTTTATAAATAACTTTCACAATACAAATCTGGAATTAACTAGACCACTCCTTTACAAAAAATTACAGGTGACTCTGCAACTTACAGGTGAAAAGTGCTGAAGTTACATAATCAGTAACAGTAGGAAGTAACAGTTGAAGTTTTGACAGTGTGACATCAAATATATTTCTCATTACACCATGGAGTATTCCATTATCTCCCTTTGTCACTTAGCTAGATTACAGGTTTCTGTTCTAAATGATTTTCTCCTCATGCTCTACTTGCACCCTCCTACTCACCCTGCTTCTGACTAGATACAATGCTTGCCAGCAGCTGACCTCCAACTCTACCTACAAACTACCTCCTGAGAGGAAGGGAAAACAGGAAGAGCAGAGAAGACTCATGGATAACCACTGCCTTCCAACACCCTTCCCGTACAGTCTGGACCATTCAGGTACCGCAGTCCCAGCCACAGCACACTGTGGCTCAGCCCAGCTTAGGCCTTCCCAGGACTTCTCATCAGTAAACCTGTATTTTTAAGTAATTAACTTGGGCATCCCCTAACTTCAAATTGGGCATCCATTTCTTCTTGACATTCCCACACTTGTTCTTTTTCTGTTATCCACTTGGGAATTATTTCCTCAGTAAAACATTCCAAAATCCATTTTCAGCAGCGCACTCTATAGCCAAGACCACCAATAGCTTCCTAGTATTTATTCACATTGAAAGTCTTCAGTGTTACCAAGGAAAGTGTTTAATATTTTCCTCAACACCATTAAGTCACTTGAGCTGACCTATGGCTGCACTGAAGACCAGCTTGTAAAACAGTGAATCTGTAGCTGTTTCTAACAATTTCTGGCTATATGTCACAGCGGTTACATGCTGAGAAAAAGGTCCTGGCCTGAGGTCTAGGCTGGCCTTGCAGTGGTGCAGGCATTCGGGAAATGAGGCAGCATGTGAAAGATTTGTATGTCTCTGTCTCTCTTTCATGCAATTAAAAATATTTTAAAACATCATGTAAGGAACTTTTTATATATATATATAAATAAGCAAACCATATACAGGGAAGTGCAGAAATCACAAACATCCACAAAGCGAAATGGAAACACACTTGTGCTACCCCGAAGCACCTAAGTAGATGGAGAGGCAGTACCCGAAGAATCAGATCAGAGAGGACACTCCGCATTTCCCTCATCTTTTGCTTTCCTTTGTGTAACAGAGGACACCTGGCTAGAGACTTGAAACTCTAGACAAATGTTGTTGTTGTCACAGGCAGGAAGAGGGAGCAAGTCAAAGATGGGCTAGAGAAGGCCAGAAAGACTGCTTCCAAGACCTGCCAGCAGCATTCTTCGCAGTATAACCTAGTCTCAACACTGGTCACCTAACAGTTTTAGAGGGAAACAATCCATTATTTTTCACTTCCTAACTAGGACTATCATCCAACTCCTTCCCCAGCCCCCATCTTTCCAGGCTTGACCTAACCAGAAAGCTTGGAAGCAAGAGCTGAGCAAGCTTGGCCTGGCTCCTTGTCCTTTTTCCCTTCAAGCCTGCATGATTTCTCCCCTCTCCCCAGCCAAGCCTAGCTTAAAAGGCAAGTTCAGATGGGGGCTGGAGTGGAGGTCTGGTGCAAGTTCAATTTAAGGGGAAATAAACAAATTCACTGACTATTTCAGAGCTATTCCCTCCAATTACAGCTTCACAAAATGAACAGGTGATATTTTACCCTTTAAGATTTATTTATTTTTATTGGAAAGCCTGATCATATTTACAGAGAGAAGAGACACAGAGAAAAGAACCTCCATCTCTGGTTCATTCTTGTATCTCCTTCAAGCGCTGCAACTGGCATGGAGAAAGATATTACCTATTGTGCCCCCTAAAAGTCCCAACAAATAAGTGACTAACACAGAGAATTTTCTTCTCCTTACTAGTGACAACAGGAATAACCTCCTCCAATAAGTTAAAATTCAACTTTCAATCAACAGCCAACAAAATCCACGATCAGGATCCATCTGTCTTGTGATTTAGGATCACAAGTGATACAAGTATCTATTGAAACTTTAGTAGCTTTTACTCTTAAATGCATTCATTAAAGACTGAAACATAAGGCAGGAGAACAGCTCAAAAAAATCAGAGTGCTAAAATCTCACACTCAGATGAGCACAATACAACAGCAGAGGCCCCAGAAAACCCAAGGCAGCAGAGCAGTGTGTGCTGGGTAGCACAGCCACAGTCCTGGCAGGGATCTGGGCTGCCTTCCCGAAGCTGTGAGCCCCACCATTTGCCCCCAAGTTGTTTAGCCAAGAAAGCATGAAGTAAAATTTCATCTGTAGTTACGTACTCTTCCTGGACAAAATATATATATATATACACACACACACAATGCTCCTCTTCTCATTTTCATTACTTCATTGATCATCACCATGGGAGAGAAACAGGGATCCTAAACGCAGAGAATTCATTCCACTTGCCTTGCTCAAAAAACAACAACAAAAGGATTAAAAAAGAAATAAAGAGGCGAACTAGCAACATAGCACAGTGCGCTAAGCCTCTAACTGTAGCGCCAGCATCCCATATGGTGCCGGCTCTTGTCTCAGCTGCTCCACTTCTGATCCAGCTCCCTGTTTATGACTTGGGAAAGCAGCGGAGAAAGGCTCAAGTGTTTGGGCCTGCCCCTGCACCGTCTTGGGACACCTGGAAGATACTCCTGGCTTCTGCCTTCCGATAAGCTCAGTTCTGGCTGTTGTGATCATTGGGAGAGCAAACCAACCGACAGAAAAATCTTTCTCTCTGTAATGTTCACTATTTTCCCAACGAAAAGAAATAAACCCTTTTTTAAAAAAAGTATAAAGTTTGCACGAATAAAATCTTAAGATCTTACTGAATAAAACACGAATTAAATCATTAAGGCAAACCATTCTTGGATAGGAAGAAAACAGGAAAAATGCTAACCCCACCCAAAATAAATTCTATACTTATTGCTCTCCCACTCAGAATCACAATAGAGGCTTTTCCTGTGAGAAGACAATGAAAAAGTCAATAAAGAAAACCCAAAATGCCAGTGTCAAGAAATGATGAAAGGATTAGAATACAGAATCAAAAGTCAGAAAGAAATAAGGCAGCTCCAGGCAGGCAGCCCCTCCCTGCTGCCACAGAAGTTTCTCTGCTTCTTCCAATAAACCTTCACTTCCTCTTCTTTCCAAGTGCCTCATCGTTGTCCAAAGTCAGGAGATAAAGATGGCAGCACCCTACCCCGCTCCTGCAGAGAAGCTGCAACACAACAGACTGTAACTCGATAACCCATGCAGAAAAAAAATGTGACCTAATTGGAGAGAGAAGGCCAGCTTTAACAGGGAACTGCGCAACAGTGACAACACAAAGAGCTGTAAAAAAAAAAAATTCAGATATGCTGCCACATTTCTTGGAGATGAGACAGACTGCCGCAACTAAAGCAGCAGACTCCTCCCGCTGTGGCTCCTGCAACATTTTGAAGCAGAGGGATGGAGAGACAAAAGATTTTCCACCTGCTGGTTCAAACCCCAAATGACTCCAAAGGCCAGCTGGGTCAGAGCCAGTGGAAAGTCAGGACAGGAGAACCCCTTCCCAGTCTCTCCCCTACGGGCCAAGGACGGAACATCTTCCTTTGTATTTCTAGGCACAGTAACGGGGAACCTCGGTTCCGAAGTGGAGTGCTGGAGTTGCAAGCTTCAGCGTAACCCGCAGGCACTTGATCATGTTTCTTGCAGGTCAACGCCCTCTGGAACCCAGAATGAGCAGCTAACGCGGCCCGGTGCCAGACTACTTCCTCTGCAAGGACACCAACATTTGCTCTTTCAATTAGCCCATCCGGCATCCCAGGAAGCGGGCTACCTTTTCTACCCGTTAGGACACACCCCTGACAGCACTGACTCCTCCTCTAGCAGTAGACTTGTCTCACCCCTTCCTCCACACTCGCAATTCTGCAAGGCTTTCCGCTGCAGAGCAGGAGCTATAAGGCAAGTCTCCCATGCAAGCACTATGGTAGAACGCAGAGATCGCAGCTCCCAAAGGGCAATCCCTGGTTCTCACCCATTAGACTAGCGTTGACCAGACCCAAAAGCAAGCTGCCTCGCGGCGGCCTCCGCCTTAGCGACAAGGGTGGAAACGCTCGGAAGAGGTCCGCCCAAGCAGGGGGCAGGATAAGGAGCGTTACAAACCTGCTGCGGGGAGAACTCACCTAATCCTCGCAAAGCCTAAAGCTCAACCAGTCGGAAGTGACGTGCAGACGGGACCTGCAGGTCCGCCACGCAATTGGCCGCAGCCTCAGCTTGGCCACCGGCTCGCCGCGCTGCCCCTCTGAGAGAGGACACGTGTGGCTGAACGCCGACCACCCGCTGCGGCGTCTCGCAAACCTCCACTCCATCCCTCCAACCCCACGGAGGACCTGCAGAGCCGGGCCAGCGCCAGGGGTCCGGGCCCGCAGCCCCGACAGCACGGACTCACGGGGCGCCCCGGCCGGCCATGGGCTCTCCGCGCTCGGGCGCGCGCATGCGCAGCCTTCCCGTTCCAAAAGATTCCTCGGGTCACCGGGACGCCGGAGCCTCCGGCACCTGTCACCGCGGGTCCCTCGGCGGCCGGGGCTCCTCCCGCCGGCGCTCACCGCCGGCCCCCCGCCGTCGTCCAGGCCCTCCCGCAGCCTCCGGCAGACGCGCCGGCTTCCACTGACACGGGTCTGGGCGCGGAACGGCTTCCGCTTCCGGCGAGTATTGTGTGTCGCGCGCCGCGGGGCGGGGGCTGGGGGAGGAGGAAGGAGGGAGGAAGCGCTCCGGCGGCTCCTAGCCGCGCTCTCCCGGACCCCGCAGCCGGGAAGGTAGGTGCCGCCCCTCCGCCGCTGCGCCAGGGCCGGGGCCGGGGGCCTGTCCCCGCCGGTCAGCTCTGCACGCCGCGTCCCCGCGCCCCGCGACTGCGTCACCGGCCCCCCGCACGTAACCACCGCTGCCTCCGCCCGCCTCGGGCCCGGGCGGACGTTTTGCCGCCCCGGCGACGTCAGCGCGTCCGGCGTTGCTTGGCTACCCCGCGGTTCCCCCTGATCCTTGCTGCTTCTCGCTTTCCCGGGTGGAAACTCCTGGCCGCATCTCGACGGGTCTCGGCTGCGTCAGAGCGGCAGGCATCCCACCTGCACGTAACGGCTCTGACTCACCTGGACACGCGTGCCTCCCAACCCCGCGCCCACCATCACGTTTCCTCATCCTCCTCTCCAACAACCCTGCCCCAGATCTGGCGGGAGAAGATGGAGACGCGGGGGGCACCGAGTTTGGGACGTCGCTCGGGAGAGGGTCGCCAAATGATAGCCGTGACTGGAGGCCGTCCCTGAAGTTTGTCCTTGTACGGAGACACGTGGAATGGAGGGTGAGGAAGGATATTCTGAGGCAACCCAGGCCTTCCTGCCGCTATAGCTCCAGGTCGCTCCATCTCTCCCCACCCGCTTTGCCCTTCTTTCTTCCCCATCACTTCTTGGCCCGTGTGGAATCATACTGGTCCCTCACTGTGCATACAATGCCACTCATCACAGGTGAGGAGGAGGCTTCCTTTCTGCAAGACTGGGGAAGGGAGCAGGGGTGCTAGTCAATCATTGCATTCCCACAGGCAAGAGAAAGTCCCATCTGATTTTACTTTTCTCCCCTGTGGAGGGTAGAAATTCAGATGCAAATAAGTTACCAGCCCTTGCTGCAAATCAGATACTTTGTGTCAAAAACTGACACCAGAAAGATCCTTGCTAACCTGGCTGTCCTTTCCTAACACCTAGGCCTACCAGATGTGTCTTGTTAAATTCCCGGGGGCTAGGGCTGGGGAAATGTAGAGGGGATTATGAAGTGAAAAGTGTTGATGTTGTAAGGATGGGGTGGAAGGCCAGCTTTTGTTTTATAAATCTCCTATGCATTTCCAGGTCTTCTCAGGTGTCGCTTGATTGCCTCATTTGTTTCCTCTTAATTCTCAACCACTTCAGAAACCTAATCATTGGAGATAGCGTTTGTCCAAGGAATTAGCAGTCATTAGCTATTTTGAAGGACTTCAGTCTTTGGTGAATTCAGACTTGTCAGCTTTCAAGAAACTACCGGCCTAGGCTCAGTAACATATGTCTCAGAGGAGGCGCAGATTCCAAATCCATACAGCTAGCAGTGGGATGAGTAAGACATGTCAAGCAGAGAGTCCGTGTCCTGTAGGCTTGTCACATTGTCTTGAAGAGCGGTCACTGCCTTCGCCTGACTGACTGAATTGATCACCAAGCGAGACTGTTGCAGAGAATCGGGCTTGGGCTCCAGCATACTGTAATGAAAAACTTCTCTGTGACATGAACCTCTACACATCATTTCAGAAATCTTAATTAAGACTTTGAATTTTATGCCACTTTTCACTCCTCTCTCGTCTGTTAGGAAAAAAAAAATGTGTGCAAGTAGGATACTTTGGTCTGAAAACTAAAGTTCAAGTAGAATGGACCTAGATCAGGAGAAGCAGGCTGGGCTGTGACTGAAGATCTGACTCTGAAAAGAACACATTGACACCTGGGAGTTTTAGAAATGAGGAAACAGAAGGTTGAATTTAGAAGATGATGAAAGACTGGAGTTACTGTGTGTAGCGTGAGAGTAAATGCCAGGCCGGGAATTTAAAAAAAAAAAAAAGTGAAACCTTCAGCTAACCTTTTCTTTGAATGTCCACTTTCCTTCCCCCAGTTAAATGATGGCAGAGACAAGTCTGTTAGAGGCCGGGACTTCTGCAGCCTCCACAGCTGCAGCTCTGGAGAACTTACAGGTGGAGGCAAGCTGCTCCGTGTGTCTAGAGTATCTGAAGGAGCCAGTCATCATTGAGTGTGGACACAACTTCTGCAAGGCTTGCATCACCCGCTGGTGGGAGGACCTGGAGAGGGACTTCCCTTGTCCTGTGTGTCGGAAAACCTCTCGCTACCGCAGCCTCCGGCCCAACCGGCAGCTCGGAAGCATGGTGGAAATTGCCAAGCAGCTCCAGGCGGTCAAGCGGAAGATCCGGGACGAAAGCCTCTGCCCCCAGCACCACGAGGCCCTCAGCCTTTTCTGCTACGAGGACCAGGAGGCTGTATGTTTGATTTGTGCAATCTCCCACACGCACCGGGCCCACACCGTTGTACCGCTGGACGATGCCACCCAGGAGTATAAGGTGGGCAGTTCAACCTGACCCCCCCATATGTGGGGGAAAGGGAGGGAAGCAAAGGAGAGTGAGATACTCTCCCTGTAGAGAGAACTGAACACTGCACAGGGCAAGGTTGTGTCTGGTCCTTCTGTTGGTTGCCTCAGAGCTACCCACATAGGACACAGTGTTCTGGAACTATAGGCCTGAGACTCAAGTGGGATGGGCTGGACTTAGAGCGAGCTGTGTTTATAGCAGAGAAGAGAGCTTGGGATTTTGTCTCAGTGTCTGGTCAGTTGTCCTCTACATGAAAAGCAGTGGTGAGAGATACCCAAACTTTTTTTTTTTTTTTTCAAATTTTTGCCACACATTTGAGTCTTGTGGATTAATATTGGTACGTGTGGTCTTGGAATATCATGTTTTTCATGAATGAATGAAATTTCAGGAAAAAGAGTAAGCCTAAGAAAAACTAAGAAGTAGTCTGCTTTCTTTGTCCTGCCACCTTGTTTAGAATGCTGACGGTTTTCCCGTTGGGGCTGGGGCTAGGTGACATCAGCTCTTTCTCAGATAGTGACTGCTGGTTTAATTTGTTGCTGGAACATAGGATATGTGTTTGAGTAATAGAAACTAATTTTTTTTTAAGATTTATTTATTTTACGTGAAAGACTTAACATGTGGATGGAAGATCTTTCTGTCTCTCACAATAAAAAATCAGGGTTGCCGAGAGAGATCTTCTACCCACTGGTTCACTCCACACGTGGCTGCAGTGACTGTGAAGAACCTAGGCGTTTTCTGCCTTTTGTGATTCCGCCTTAATGGCTTGGCTGGGGGCTGTGTGAACCTCAGACCTGATAGTCTACGTGACACCCGGCAGGACACCTGGCAGGTCACGTAGGCAGACCACTCCTCAGGAAGGAGGTACCTGGTGTTTGATAAGATTCACAGCCCAATAGCTCATCGATTTGTACTTTTTGAAAATTGCTTGTTTCAAACCCACCAATAGAAGCCTACTAAATCATGACTGTATAATTAATAGCCTGAAATGTATAAGAACTGGGGGGCTTGGGCTCTGGGCCTTTTTCCCTTGGCTTCTGGCTCGCGTTTCTTTGGTCCTCCTTGTGGATCCTTGCAGCCTCTGCTGTGGCTGCCCCTCCCCCGCCCAGCCATGCTGGGCTGGGGGAGGTCGCTGGGTTACCTAGGCTAACCTGAATAAACCACCTTTTTGCCTCAGCACCGACTTCAGACTTGATGATTATCTGGGGGTTTCAAAAACCGGCACAACAACTGGAGCCAGGAGCCTAAGGCCTTGGACCATCCTCTGCTGATTTTCTAGGCCATAAGCAGAGAGCTGAATCAGGATGAGCACCTGGAGCTAGGAACCAGCACCTGTATGAGCTGCTGGCACCACAGGCAGAGGATTATCTACAGTGCTGGCTATGGAACCAGAGGGGGGCGGGTTGTTTATTTTTTTAATGTCTTAGCACTTGTCTTTCTCTCTCTCTCTCTTTTTAAGAGAAAAAGAGACAGAGAGGTCTTCCATCTACTGGTTCACTTCCTAAATGGCCACAATGGCTGCAGCTGGATTGATCTGTGAAGTCAGGAGTCTGGAACATTTTTTAGGTTTCCGGTATGGGTGCAGGGGCCCAAGACCTAGTGCCGCAAACAAGGCG